GGGATTCCCCTGAGCAGCAGGTGTGAGGCCCAGCCTGCTGGAAGGCCGCTTGCACTCACGGTGATCTTGGTGCCCTGGGCCCGCCTCCCGTGGAAGCTGAGCATGACAATCTCCAAGCCATGGCTGCCGTAGGTGCCGTTGAAGAGGCCGGGCTGGATGAGCTCCTCAGGACGGCTGGGGGGGAGGTAGATCCGGCGGTATGTCAGGCAGTTGCTGTAGGGGAGGGAGGGGTCAGCACAGAGCCAGGCAGAGCCCCAGGGACACGCGGCAGATGAACGGGACTGGTGTTCACTAGAACAGGGGGCAGACGTCCTTTCAGAAACATCCACGCCCACCATGTCCACCCACATTCATGGGGTGACCTCATGTGAAGTGTGTTTTCCCCTTCCCTCCCTACTGTCCTGCAGGCCCAGGACGGTCATGGGTTTGTCAGGGAGGCAAGAGAAGACCACATGACTGTAGAAATGTGAGGCTCAGAAGAGGGCTCCCACAAGGGTGGTCCGAGCTGGTCAGCAAGCTGACCTGTCAGAGACCACATCAAGGTCCTGGGGGCAGCTGTATGTACCCCTGCCCACCACAGGGAGAGGGTTGTGTCCTAGTGTCCATTCCGCCTGCAGCCACACCCTTGTCGTTGTTGTGAGCACCGAGGGGCGGGGCCCTGTCAGTAGCCCCTACTCACACACACACACACTCACTCACACTGGACGGTGTCGTCAGCACCAAGGGGCGGGACCATGTTAGTCCCCTCCCCCGCCCCCACTCACTCGTACTGGCTGGTGTAGATGAATTTCATGAGGATCAGCTCTTGCGTGTGCGCGTGGAAGATGTCCTCCAGTGTATGTCCCCACTCCTCCCGCAGCCACGTCCGGAACTCCTTTCAAAACAACAAGGGTCTCCCCGGATGATCCTGGTCACAGCGTCTGACCTCCCTGCCTGTCTAGAGGCCCACAAGGCCAGGGGCTTCGGAAGATACTGCCCCAGTGCCCACTGCATACCTCGGGGCTCACTAAGCCCCTGGGCTGTATTCCCTCAGTCCAAGGGGCTTCCCGCAGCTTCCCTGCTTCCCCAGTGGACACCGGACAGCAGGGGGCAGGGCCAGGACGATTTCACCGTCTGCGCCTGCTCAGTGAGCACATTCACAAAAGGCGAGTTTCTACTAGACAGCGCAGGCCCAGAGCTCCAGACGGCAGACAAGCCTGCGGGTCCTCAGTGCTGGACAGTGTGGCTCCAACAACCCAACAATCCCAAATTACCCACAGCTCCTCATTCCTAACCAACAGTATTGCTCATGGTGACCTGCAACTGACCTCCAACTAGCCGAGCACGCAAAAGCAATTTCCCACAAAGAGAAGAGGATAACGGAATTTAGCGTGGTTACAGGATCCAAGATAAATATATTTTCATTTTTTTAATTTTAGAAATTCCAGATTTTTATATAATAGCTACAAACTGGAAAATGAAATTTTCTAAAATTCTATCTGCAACAGTGTCAAAAATTGTAGAAGACTCTGTTGTTGTTAAGTGCCATTGAGTCGGTTCTGACTCATATGGAGCCTGTATAGGATTTCCAAGACACAGCTGATGGGTTTGAACTGCCAGCCTTGTGGTTTGAGTCCTGATCCTACAGCACCACATCAGTAGACTGCTAAAGGACTTTGGGAAAAGTTTAACAAAGTCTGTGCAAGACCTCAGTTATGAAAACCACAAAGTGCTAAGAAAAATGAAAGAAAACAGACATATCAAAGTCGGATGCACCAAGTTTATTAACAGAAGACAAGATTGCCAAGACAGTAAAAATTCTCTCCAAATCGATCTTAAGGTTCAAAGGCAGGTCAAGCCTAACACACTCAGCTTACTTCATGGTGTAAAGTGACAAGCTGACATACACATGGAAATGCTGAGGACCTAGAATACCAACCCAAGGCATCCTGAAACAGAAGAACCAAGCTGGCAAGACTCACTGTCTCTCGGTTACAACTCACTGTGAAGCTACAGAGCTCAAGACAGCAGGACAAGCCCAAGGACTGACCACAAGATCAAATGGACCCTCAGAGAGCCCAGAAACAGACCACACTTACTTGGTCAGCTGGTTTTCAACAAAGGTGTCAACGCAATCCAAAGGAAGTCTTTTCAATAAAAGGTGAACAATGGGATAACCATATATATTTAGAGAGAGAAAGAAAGGAACCATGATTGATTCCTCCCTCACGCCATACACAAAAAGCAACTCATTAAGGGCCACAGATCTGAACTTGAGAGCCACACGTAACAAAGCTACAAGTATTTCAGGGGAGGAGATCAACCCAGTTAGCCGTGTTTGTAACTTAGGAGATGGTGTTGTTAAGTCCCGTCGAGTCGGTTCTGACCCATAGCGACCCTGTACAGGGTTTCCGAGGGTGTAAATCTTTACGGGAGTAGAAAGCCTCATCTTTCTCCCACGGAGCGGCTAGTAGTTTTGAACCGCTGACCTTAAGGTTCGCAGCCCAATTCTAGCAACATTTTTAGGCCACAGGGAATAATGACACAAAGAAAGAAAACATCTGCCAAATTAGACAGCTCCAAATTAGGAGCAAAAGGAAGTGCACAGTAACGACATTTCAAAAGTGACCGTAATGAGCAAAGGTCTCAGTGATGCCATGAAGAGCCGCTGCGTCGGTTCACGTCAGTTCAGACTCACGGCGTGCCTGTGTAGGTTTCCGAGGAGCACTGGCGGGTTTGCACCGCCTGCCGCTTTTGCAGTTAGCTAGGACTCCCATGAGGAATCAAACTTGAACCCAACACCAACCAGATGACTGCATGTGATTTTAGCCTCATTTACTCTGCCCAGGAAAGGACAAGCAAAGTCATTCCAAATACCAACCAAACCAATTACTCAAAATAGGAGTCTCTGACACAAGGTTATTACAAATGATCTTACAAGACCAAAATAGTTACGTGCACAGAAGAAAGGGGTCTACGACAAATTACCGGGAATCCTGGTGTGATACTGTAGGTTAAGCACGGGACCACAGGGCCAGTTTGAACTGCAAGGTCAGTAGTTCTAACTCACCAGCCGCTCCTCAGAAACTCTGTAGACAGGCTTTCTATGAGTTGGAAACGACTCCACAGCACTTAACAACAACACATAAAAGGAGACCTGGTGCTGTAGGGTTAGCACTGAGCTGCTGCAAATCACAAGGTCGACGGTTCAAACCCACCAGCTGCTCCTCGGAAACCCTGTCCGGGGTCGCTATGGGTCAGAATTGACTCCACAGCACTTAACAACAAGAGCCAATCAAGAAGACCTGAGGCGCAGAGGTTACAGCACTTGGCTGGTAACCACAAGGTCAGCAGTTCGAACCCAGCAGCTGCTCTCGGGAGAAAGACGAGGCAGTCTGTATGCATGCAGACTTATCCTGAAGGACAGTTCCACTCGGTCCTTCAGGGACACTCCACACTGGAATCAATGTGACAGTGGTAGGTTTGGTTTTTGGTTTTGTAGGAAACACAACAAGGCCACAGTAAATGTGAGCTCGGTCCAGGGCTTGCTGATGGCCAGGTGGCTCACACCACTGATCTAGTGTTCAGGATGGCCCCAGGACAGGGGGCAAACATCTCCCCTAATTTAGAGCTCACCCCCCCTGTGATCAGACAACTGAGCCAATCCAAAGGCCAGCTGCTTAATCAGTAGGGTTCTTCCCCAGGAGAGAGCATCAGAGGCAGGACAGCGCAGTGGGGCTGGGGGCAGCTGCATGGGCCTGTGCCGGGGGAGAGAGGGTCCTGCCTGGAACTGAGAAGACGCTGGTCTGAGGTGGACTAGGAGACACAACTGCCAGTCTGCAGACCACACGAGGTCAGGAGTCTACTATGTGACTGGGTGCTGGACCATGACCCTGCCAGTTTGAACTTGGCATTCAAAGGTGCTGAAAACTTCAGGAAACAGTGTAAATTGCTACAATTTGGTGAACGTGACCTATACTTATGGATGTTGTTGTTGTTAAGTACCGTGGAATGGGTTCCGAATCATAGTGACCCTGCACAGGGTTTCCGAGGCTATAAATCTTTATGGGCGCAGAATGCCTCAGCTTTCTCCCGCGGAAACGCTGGTAGTTTCAAACTGCTGACCTTAAAGCTGGCAGCCCGACTCGTAACCACTACGCTACCAGAGCTTCTTATACTTATGGATGTCGTAGCTCAAAATACCAACTGAGAGTAAAGGAGTCTTCACATCAATTATCAATCCTGTCCCCTCTGTAAACAGGTTGATAGGGACAGACAACTTAGACATTAACTATCTAAAATGATGGGGCAATAAAGGCACGATGTGACTGGCTTACAAGTTTTCAAGAGGGAGTTTGATTTAAAAGTGTGTGGGGGAAGGTAGAATCCCCACTGAATAGTTTTCACCTTGTCTCGATGGGTTTGGTGAAAAGAGATGGGGTAAGATTCTCATGATTCAATAGTAATTGTTAGAATGATGACGCACGGAGAAGTTTGTAATCTTTGCAATGAAACGATGCTGTAAAACCAATGTTCTCCCATGTAAACTATCACTCAATTCAAAATAAAAACTTAAAAAAAAAAAACAAAAAAAACCACGCTCAAACCTCACCAACTCCCAGACACTGCAGTCTGGGTACAAGGGATCGGACTGGGATTGGCCAGCCTGCTCATGTAGTTTCACTTAAGCACCAACCCCAGCAGGGCTGGCTCGTGGAGGACAATCCAAGTGAAGGGTGAGGACCAAGGGAAGGAAGATCCCTGGAGCAAGACCATGCTGTGAGTCAAAGCCTTTCTGTAACCCTCTTCTTCAAAGTGCTCCCGACATTCAGTGCTTTCTGCTCATCCTGACTCTCCCTACCACTCTCAGGCTGACGAGAAACCTTCTGGAAACCGAGAAATGGGTCAAGAAATGCACAAACAAATAAACATCAGCTGCCTTGAGAAGCCAAGGTTTTAAAAGTTTCATTCCTGAATGATCTTTTAAAATGGAGATACAACCTGGATGTACAGAAAAGGAAAACTCAAGGGGTGAATGAAATTCCTCGTGCAGACAAATAGCGCGAAAACCCATGGGGGCATGGCTGAGTCCAGCGTGAGAGGGGGACAGAGGCTCCCAGGAAGGCCCAGGTCGCGGGGCCTCCAGAGCAGCCGCCCCAGCCAGTGCTTCTGACAGACACAAAGGCAGCCAAGGAGCGCTCACCCGAGGGTGGTGTGCACAGAACTGCAGTGAGCTGCTCTCGGGACACACACCTGTAAGGCCGCTGCTGGTACAGGTGCGTTTTCTGCTCAGACAGCATGGAGCTAGACTGTGTGAAATGTGGTGTGTACGCATCGTGGTTCCAACCCTTCATGTCTACACTCTGGGTCACATGGGGGGGGGGGGGCGGCGGCTCACCTCCTGCCTGCCGCCCGACATCCGGTGGTGATCTGTCTGGTTGCACTTGGTGGAAAACTCGTCTGTCTTCATGATCTTCGTGTTCACGGCCAAGGGGAAAGGAAAAAGCAGAATGAATTAGTCACAGCCTCGAGCCCCTCCTACCCGGTGGGTGTGGGCCAGCCAGGTACTCTGATGTACTCCGTGGATGGTGCCCCACCTAGAGCAGCGATAAGGGCTGACACTCACAGCGGGCGGCAGTATCTGCCCTTCCCCCCTCCCCAGGTATCCGAGGGCTGAGCAGACCTGCAAGCAGGAAGAGCAGGTGCGGTGTGGAGCTGGAACCTGGAAGACCAGACAGTTCTCCCTGGAAACCAGATGGCCTACCAGACCCCAGGAAGTGCCGTCCACACTGACTCCCGGCCACAGGGTACAGGTCATGCCGCAGGCAGAGGCTCTGGGTGCCCACCTGCATCCCAAGGTCCAGCTCCCGTCATCTGCACGGGCTCACCTGTGTCCCGGGGTCCAGCCCCCTCACCTGGATGTGGCCATGGTGTGGCCCCTTGTGGCCATACATGCACTGGACCGTGGCGGACTTTCTCTCCATCAGGTGGATTCTGAAGAGAGGTTTGAATCTCATTGGGTCATCCACGTGCGGGTCGTGGGGAGGCAGGTACATCCACCCAATAATGAACAGGCCGTCCACCTGCGGAGTTCACGGGCAGCGCTGAAGTATAGTGCTGTTAACTGACAGCCTGTCCAGCCGTACCACACAGGCTCCCGTGTGAGCATTACAACCCGTTAACTGGTGGTCAGTCCAGCTCCACCACGGGGTTAGGGCTGGAACAAGCTGCACTCCACCAGGAAGAGGCACAGACAAGGAGCCAGCGTGGGAGACCCCGAGGGCACTGAGCCAGGAGAGCAACCTGCCACACAGCCTGGGGTTGACTCCCCTGAAACCAACGGTTACAAGGCAAGCTGCCCGGACAGACTGATGGGAGCCTGTGGTTGTGTGGGAAACAGCCCCGTCATCCTACAGAGATAGACAGAGAGACTTGAGGCTACTGTACTAGCCTCTAGATTGCCAGGTATGTTTCATTTGACAGGTGATGGTGTACAGCTCACACATGGTGCTTGGCAAATGCTGGCGGATTCCCAGGGGGCTGCCCTTGTCTGAAGCCCTGGCCTAAGAGAAGTTAGTATCCGCTGCCCCCCAGACGAGCCTGGCCCCCACGCTGGCAAGCACAGCACTGTCTTAAGAGTAGCTTGGTGTTGTTCCTTCTGGAGCTCCATTGCCACTCATCACCCCGCTTTCTGAGGCTGGTTTTTTTTTTACTCTATTGCTCACCACCAATACGGAAAGCAGCATTCACTCACCTGCTATGGTGTTGCAGGTTTAATGCACTGGACTGCAAAAAGTCAGTCTGAACCATAAGGTTGGTGGTTCAAGCTCACCAGCTGTTCCTTGGAAACCCTACACAGAGTTGCTATGGGCTGGAACCGACTCAACAGCACCTAACAACATTGCTCACTGCCAGTTGAGAAAACAGCCGGCTGGCCTCCCCCAGGCCACTCCCTAAACCAGACTCCCCCAGAATATGCAAGTCCCAGAGGGAAGTGGGTCATTGTGAGTCTCTCCACCAAATCACAAGGAGGAGCACATGGAAAGAAGATGGAAGGGACTCTGTGCTGGGATACAACGAAGCCACCCAGCACTCACCACCACGTTCAGCAGCCCCCCGTAAGGCCCAATGTCCGGCTGCCAGAGCCCCAAGATGTGTCGGTACCGGTGGAGCACTGTGGGGAGACAGAACAGACATCAGGTTAGAGACGGCGTACGCAGGGAGAGTACACTGTGAAATGAGCCTTCTACACAAATGCGGACTTACCTACAGACCGCAAAAGTTCTAACAGTGAAAAAGATGACGCTACTTTTCAGACCTGCCTCTAGCGGGTCACCTCCAACCATGAGGAATCACACTTCATCAGACAGTGGAGGGGGTGCCTCATGAGGGAGTGGGTTTCCCGTCAGTGGGGGCATCCCAGCAAAACGGGAATGTTCTTGCGTGGGAGGAGAATACTGTAACTCAGGATATAGAAACCGCTCCCAAATTATTACAAATAGAGTGATAACAACTTAAATTCAAAGCCCTCCGCCCGAAATAATCTGACTAAATGATTCCAAAGTTCATCTGAGAGAATGAAGGGTGACGCCAGCAAATCACAGAATCCTGTGCAGAGACGAGGGTACCGAGACACACAACTGACAGCAGACACAACCAAAGGCAGGCAAAGCGGGAGGTGAGCTGGGAAAGACCAGGCAAGTGGCTCAGGGACCAGCACGGTGGCTTAGGACACAAGGCCATAGCGTTCCCTTACTCCAAAAGTGAATCTGGTATCTCTCCAGTCTAGGAGCAGAGGTCTCTAGGACCATCAACGGAGAAGAGTCGAGAGCGGGACCCTACCCAGAGAAGCAGCGAGGCCCGAGATGGAGGCAGAGACGATGATGTGGAGTGATGAAGCGGCTGGGGACTTTGGATCCAGAGAGAGAGAGGGACTTGTGTGCTGAAGACTGAGGGATGGGGGGAGGGTATAGGGGGCGGATTTGTAGGGTATATCCTTTGGTCGGTTGATGATGCATGGAGGGGATTGGAACCATGACAATGAAGCAATATACGGTGGAACGAATGTAAAACTAAAGTTCTCTCATGTAAAATATCATATAATTTACAATTGTTGTTGTTGTTGTTGAGTGCCGTCGAGTCGGTTCCGACCCATAGCGACCCTGTACAGGGTTTCTGAGGGTGTAAATCCTTACGGGAGTAGAAAGCCTCATCTTTCTCCCGCGGAGCAGCTGGTAGTTTCGAACCACTGACCTTAAGGTTCGCAGCCCGATTCGTAACCACTATAATTTACAATAAAACATTAAAAAAAAAAAAAGTGAATCTGGGGCTCAGGGCCCATTAAGAAGGGATAATGTTCCAGAAGACTTACTGTGGGAGAGAACCGCTGCACTAACATACACCTCTGACTGAAAAAAGCCGACTTCTAGTCCTTGGGTCACCGGATCCTCACTCTGGACACCTTCAGGGACACTGAGCAGCTGCTCTAACGGGGGCTTGGAGGCGGAGCGCACGCAGGTGTTTTGGGAGTTTTTCAGCTCCACAGGCTATGCTAAAGTGCAGCCTGGGCCAACAGACACACACAGATATTTCCCTGGCAGCTGAGCAGAAAACGGGAGCAGCTAAACTTTTGTCCCGTTTGGACCACACGATGCCTGGAGTCGGGTGCCTCATCCTTCTTACTCCTCAGGTGAAGCCTGAGATACAGTCATCCAGCGGGAGGCCGGCGCTGGACCCTCTCCCTGACCAGCACCGGCCTTCACTATGCTCCCCTGTCCAGCTGCCCAGCGTCAGGCGAGACACTGAAATGCCGGGTGCAGGCGGTGAGCTCTAACATGCGGTTTGTTTCTGGTGCCAAAACGTAAACGGATGATATTTAGGAAAGGAAAACACATATGTGAAGAAAATGCTTCCTTTTCATTAGACGCTCGAGGGTTTATAGAGCACATCCGTTTTCTGTTCAACAGTTTGCCCCCATCTGCAATCCCCACAAAATCAGAGACACACTCCTCCCTGGGATAACGGCCTTGCCCGCCTGCTGAGGTCGGTCCGTGGGCTGACGGCTGCTTGTGATAAGTCTGCACACTCTCTGGGGGTCACATAGCTCTGGCTACTCTTTGGCTGAAAGCTGAGCCATGGAGAAGAGTTCAGCTCCAAGCTAGATGTTCCTGTAAACATACTGACGTCTGAGCTGACTGGGGGACCCAGGCGGTTCTAGCCAGCAGGGCTGCAGGGCTGAGCCCCTACCTTCCTAGCTGAAACGGCTGCCCCAGGGACCACAGCTCTGATGAGGAGCAGAGTCTGGAACATGTGGGGACAGTCTCTGTTGGGAGAAATTCCCTGGGGCACAAGTGGTTCTCACTGTGGGCTACAATGAACAGGATGGGAGGACTCAGTCCACCCAGAGGCACCTTGGAAGGAAGCTTAGCAGTCTACTTCCTCAAATTCAGTCACAGAAAATGCCACAAGGCAGAGAGGACCTGTCCTTTCATCCAAAACAGAAAGTCGTCATCACCACCCCTGGGGTTTGCTGCCACGTGGCAGTTAGTAGCCCTAGGTAACCACAGCACGATCAGGAGGCTCCTCACAGAGACGCCTGAAAAGGCGGCCGGATCTCTGCCCTTCACTGCACCCAGAGACAGCTGCTGGGGCTACCTGCTCCCTCCACCTCGCACCTTCTGCACACTTTTCATCCTAGTGACCACCTTTCCCGCCCTGCTCACCGCCTCATGTGGCAAGAGGTTGTGCAGAGGCCTCCCGCCACGCCCTCCAGCTTCTGGGTCCGGGCTGACAGAGACTGGGTGACTTACAAGCAGGTAGGGGTGCTGCCAGAATCCTAGGTCTGAACACCCCAATATCCAGCCCTGCACCTACACTGTCCAACGGGTGTTGTTGTCTTACCAGGAACAAAGGCATCAAATACCTCACAGGAAAGCCCATCTACCTGTCCCACCCAAGATGTCAGGAAAATAGAAAAAGACACGCCCCAAAGTGGCTGACCTGAGATCAGAGGACTATGCGTCTGGACACAGGGCTAGTTGCTGCCAATTCGGTGTCAGTCCACTTGGGCCCTCTGATCCATCAACTCGTGGCCGGAGGGGGGTGACCAGCAGCGACACACCTGGTGCCACCAGTTCAGGAGGGGCTCACATGGAGAGTTCCCGCCCAAAAACTCATCTAAAAGGGGCCTCCACTGAGAGAGGACTTCCCTAAGCACCCAGAAGGCATCTGAACACTGGACATGCACAGAGATATCGTGATTTCAGATCTGGGCCTCCGGAGCTGGCCTTCTTTTGTGTGCAGAGCGGGCACCATTCGAATACGCCAGTGAGAGAGGCAGCACCGTTCACTGTCTCCACGTCCTCTGGGCTTACCCAAGGTCTAGACCTACAGCGCATACTGGGTTCTCAAAGCCACTCAAAGCTGACCAGTGTGTCCAGCAGCCTCACATGCATGTGACAGTTGGGCAATGAGTAAAGGAAGACCATGAAAGAGTAAAGAGTCAGTGCATTTGAGTTAGGATGTTGGAAGAAGTGCAGCCATAATGCTCCTTAGAAGTCAAATTGTTGAGACTTCATCTCTTATACTTTGGACATGTTATCAAAATGGCAGAAAGGCTCCGTCCCTGGAGGACATCGTGTTTGATAGAAAGAAAAAGGAGACCCCCAATGAGACCGACCGGCATAGTGACGGCAGCAGCTGCACTCTCAAACGTGCCACTGGTGAGGTTGACACAGGACCGGGCAGTGTGTCCTTCTGCTGGCCATTAAGGTGGCTATGAGTCGAACCCAGTACAACAGCACCTAACAACGACATTACAGGGGCAGTGAGGCTCCCAGGAAAATAACTCAGTAAGGAAGTCATCCACTATGATCTACTAGGGGGACAAGCACAACTCAGAAAGGTCTAGACACCCCGAGTCTTGTAGTACAATAGCCCAGCAAAGATTGCGCTCCATTGAAAAACCAACTGAACAGAAACACAAGAGAAAGAATAGACAAGAAGTTGGTTCTTTGAAGTGACCAATGAAAATGACAAACCATGGGCAAATCTAACAAAATAAAACAAGACGCAAATAAGAAGAATAAGAAACTATATGGGAGAGTCCCCACTGAAGAGTTATCATCTTGTCTAGATGGGTCTGGTGAAAGGAGATGGGGATAAAATTCGTAAGATTCAATAGTGAATAACTGTTATCATGACTAATCGCGACTGTCACAATTGTAAAGGTAGAAGTTTTGTAACAAAAACAAGGGGAGTGATTAATCTTACAGTCCAGAAACAGAGGACCCTAGGACCATCAAGAGAGGAACACACAAATAGAATGTGGGACCTTATCCAGAGAAGCAGCAGCACCAGAGATGGAGGTAGAGATGGGGGCATGGAAGACTCTAGATTCATCAACTAAGAAGAGAAGGACTAAGAACTGGTGGCCAGGAGCAGACTTGCAGAATGTGCCCTTTGGAGATGTAATTTATTATATATGCCTGAGTGGGGTTTTTTTTATGTGTTTTTTAAAAAGCTAAATGGATAAAGAGAAATACTTTTAACTGATGGTACATGGAGGGGATTATAATCAATGTAATGAAACAAGTTATATGAATGGTTGAATGTGAAACTGATGATGTGCCCTGTACACTTTCACTTAATCCACAATAAAAACCTTAAATTAAAAAAAAAGAAATGGAAAAACGAATCATTAACTTCACATGGAAAGGAAAAAGACCCCGGATTAGCAAACCATTATTTAAAAAGGAGGAGGCCTCATCACCTACTACACAGCCACAGTGGTTTGAACAGCCTGGTCCTGGGACAACAACCGACACATAGATCAGCAGAACAGAACCGAGAACCCCATAGTGAATGCGGCCACACTACATTAAATGAGGAAGACATAGTCTCTTCCACAATTGGTACTGGCCAAACTGGAAATCCATTTGCAGAAAAATGAAATAATCCAAATCTCACACCGTCTACAAACATGAATGTAGTGGTCTGCCCTGTAAACCTCTTAATTCACAATTAAAGATTGAAAAAACAAAAACAAAACCAACCTCTATATGACAGCACACGCAGCCAACAATGACAGCAGAGATGAGGGAAGCAGCAGAAGGCATTTCAAGGGGCAAAACAGTCTGTGTAGAAACGGACAAAGGTACAGTGAAATAGTATTCA